GTCCAGTATCTTCAGATCCTCATTATCAAGAAGAGAAATGGGCAGAAAGGCTTTTTTTTTTTTTTCAAATTTTTTGCGGTTCCAGTACGTCTTCTGTTGTCTTAGGAATCATTGAGATGTGAGCTCTAAGTGCATCTGGAGAGGGAAGAGAACCCTGTTGTAATTCATTAAAATAAGCAGCCAAAAAGAGAACCAACAGGGTTAAAAATTTCTTGTAATAGAGACCTGAAAAGCCATCAGGACCCAGGGCCGCAGTGGACCATAAAGATTTCATAGCTTGAAGTACTTCTGATACAGTTACACCTGCATTAAGGACCACCCATGCCGCTTTGGACAATCCAGGGAGTTGTAGATCTTGAAAGAACGCTTCCGCCTGAGCTACAGGAAAGGGATCTGGTTTAGCATATAAGTGAGAAAGGAAGTCCACGAAACGACCTGCTGGGGATTGGAGGTGCAGCCCCCTGCAGGGAGCCACAACTGGACCTGTTTATGGGGTTTCCCCACAGAATTGAGTTTCCTAGCCAGCATCAGACCCGGTTTATTAGCAAAGGTATTAAATTTATGTTTGGTACAACGCAGGGCCCGTTCAGCCTCTGAAGAGGCAAGTAAGTCCAATTCTGCTGCCAGGGCATCCCGTATTCATTTATGGGCTGCGGACAGAGTGCGACTTCCAATGAGCTTTCGCAGAGGCTATCTGAGAGTGAAGGTCCAAAAGATGATGCTCCCGCTTCCAAGCCGTAGCCAGCTGTATAATGAGACCCCTCACCCTAGCTTTATGTGCCTCACACAGGGGCACTGGCGAAGAAACAGATCCTGAATGCTCCGCAAAAATACGTTCGTATGAAAGATTCTATTTGCTGGCAAGTGGCCTGGGTGGTCAATGAAGACTCGTTAATGCACCAGTGAAAAGGATGCCATGTCAACCCCAAAAGTGCAAGAAGCAGAACTAGGGGATTGTGGTCTGACCAGGGTGAGGAAGGGATAGATATCCGCCCTGACTAAAGGAAACTGATGGACATGCATAAATACATGGTTGATTCTGCAGAAACTATTATGAGGAATAAAGTAGAATGTGAAGTCGCACTCAGTTGGGTGAAGTTCCCTCCAAACGTCCACTAGCCCCGCAGACTGCAGGAGAGAGCGCATGTGTTCCTCCTGCACTAAGTTGCAAGGAGGGGCCACCCCCTGAGCATAGCACCTATCTAGAGTGGAATTCAAGGTAACATTTGAATCCCCCAAAAGAAGAAGAAGACCCTTGGAGTGTTGGGAAATGATGGTACAAAGATGTGAGAAGAATTTGTGCTGAAAGCGATTGGGAGTGTAATAGGAAACAAAAGTGACCTCCTTATTCCAAAGGGTGACCTGCAGGAACAAGTACCTGCCCGTGGGGTCCGCTCTATGCCGAGCGCAGGTAAAAGGGAGGTTGCACTTGAAGACTATCAGAAAATCCCTTTGTCTCTCAGAAGCCGAGGACATGTAAAAAGTGATATAATGAGATAAGAGATACCGTGCAGTGGAGGACTAGGCAAACCTGGTTTCCTGCAAACATACCACATCAATGTGTTGCAATTTGAGGTGATGAAAAACTTTAGACCACTTCTAGGTGAATTAAAGCCTTGGATATTTGTGAATGTACTTTAAAAGGGGGCAAAGCCATGGTGGGGTTGGCGGAATCTGCTCACTAGAAAAGGCAGAAGTCGGCCAATAATGCCCACCCCGAAGGACATCCGGTCCATGCCGGCCCGCAACCCAGCAGAAAACAAAAACAGAAAAAACCAGGAAAAACAAAAAGACAAGAAAAAAAAGGAAACACAGAGAATATGTACAATGGCATAGCCATATCACATCTATGGTGAGATGCATCCTACACTCAAAGGATACCAGTTGGGTTGGCTCTACCACCAAACACATGACTGCAAATGAATACATCAATAACATCAGAATGTTTTTCCTTAGTGTGATAATAGGTGAATTTGATGATGATGTGTCTTGGGGGCCCCTACGGCCGTCTGGGACCCATTGCACGAGCAATGTCGTCAAATTCCAGACAGTCAATGGGAATGGTGGGGGACAGCTCCTGAAACAGAGCAGTAGCGGTTGAGGTGAGATCCATAACGGATTCTGGAAATACCCTGTAAGCGTACGTTGCCGCAGAGGGAGCGGTTCTCAAAATCCTCAAGTCGGAGCAGCAGCGCGTCTGCCAATTCTTTCTTAAGGTTGCACAGATCCTGCTCATGGCTTTCTATGGCCGTGGCTGCAGCATCCATCTTATCCTCAAGATTGTTCGTCCGATTGTCCAGCTTTCTAATTTCTCGAGAGAGACGTTTGGCCAGCTTGGAATTAGTGGAGGACAATTCTGCCTGCAGCACCAACTTGAAGCGATCCAAGAGCTCAGCATCCCACAGGGCTGGTGCAGGAGGGGTTGCAGGGGTGTCTCTGACTCAGTGCCCACCTCAGCAGCGGGAGCCTGTGCACCAGTGGGCGATGTCGGCGGCGAGCCCAAGATTGAAGCCGAGGATCCAGATGCAGCCTCCGGCAGGTAGGCCGCAGGGTTCTGGCGCGGCCTGCCGAGCACTGGAGGAGCGGCCAGCCCCATTTTTTTCCCCCCATCTAGGCAGTCAAGGTGGCAGCAATCTGGGAGGGGTTTGTGGGCAGCTGGATGACCCCCTTGTGAGCCGGTAAAATGGCTGATGTGTTTGGTGGGCGAGGAGCGCACCTACTGAGCAGCCATTTCGGATGCTGCTCACGATTGCCCCCCCAGGGGCCAACTTTAAACCATATACAAGTATATTTATTATATATTTATTTATTTAATTGATTGTGCATTGCAAATCATTCTGGATTTTTTTTTTTATCAAATCATTATACTGTAGGTTTAACATCAAATAGGAGTAGCCCAAAACACAATCATTGTGCTGCACTACAAAAAAAAAAAACACTGCATGCATTTGTATTCAATAAAATGGGGTTTCTATGACCACATATAATTACATACTATGTAAACAAATGCATTTTTCCTTAAAGACAAAACATTTTAGATGTGGATAGAGTAGGGAAGTGCTGAATCTGGTAGAATTTTATTATTGATTGTATCCCTCTTGGTTGCCCACAGCAGTAAAAACATACCAACACAAAGTAATCCTTTGTTACAAATACTAGTTAAGTTGTATTTAACAATCTTAATTACTTTATTTTTCTTATACTTTAACATTTTTTAATATAATACCTACTAAAAGGCATAAACATCAGCATCAAAGATGACTGAAAACAGCTTGAATAACACATTGTAGACCACTGATTTACATGTAAATAAAACTAATTAGAATATATTAAGGAATGAAAACAACTGACAGGTAAAATAATAATTTTTATTAGCTTAATAACCTCTGATTGCATAATTACCCTTTTTGTTCAGTAGGAACTGTGGTTACTTGCGGTTACAGTGTTTTCTTTATAAATACCATAGTTTCTAGTGAAAGAATGCGTTCAATGGCTTTGATTCAATAAGCTGCATTAGTACTTAAAGGAAATCTTTCATGATGCAAACATATAGAGACATTACCTACTTCTGTAAATGCAAAATATCTGCTTTCATGGTAAACCTAATGCTTCAGATATTTAAGTGGCTAACCTGGATACATATGCAAGCAGGGAATTCTGACATTACTCTGACTTTGATAATATGAATATTTGTTTTATGTCAATGGCTCACAAAGACTTTAAGTCATTTGGTCATCAGAATAGCCAAACAACTAGAATTTTCAGAAGAAGGTTAGGTTTGACTGCCCAGGTTTTTCTCTTTCAGGAAATGTTTACAATAAATTGTACTAAATAGCCCTTAATGTAGAACTACAGTATAGGCCTTTTTTCACTTTGGATAGAGTAATGGAAGATTATAACCCCTGTAGGTTTTTGCCATCTGTTACCATTGGGGAGATTTCCCTTCATTTCCTGTCCCATACCCAAAACAGAAAGTGAGAGGAAATCCCTGCAAATTAAGGGAATCCATTGGAGCCCCCCAGGTCACCCAAACTAGTGTCCCTATTGAAAGGTTTCCCCCTCTCTGACTTTTTGGGGACAACCCAAAATGTGGTATTTTCTTTTAAATTTCACTTTCATGATAATGGTAAACAGTACAAATAGAGAGGGTGAATCTCCCTAACGCAGGCACAGACAGCAACAAAAATCTAGCAATTCTAATCCCTTTTCCCTGTTTTCAACTGAAAAAAAGTTGTGCCTGTTGTTATACTCAAGGCATAGTAAAGTGGTCTTCCAATCAAAACTTTTATGCATAATATTAGCATGCTTTAAAATACATATATGTAAACCCCAACAATGAACTTTTCATTTTTTCTATTTGATTTTTTTAAATGTTTTGTTATATCTATTTGTGACTTCTTGTAACACACTGAACACTGACACTAAAATCTCAAAATATCATGTTACACGTGCATTGTTGTTTGTTTACCCACTAGCCTACAGGGCACTTATACCCCCTTCCTGCACAGGCCAATTTCCAGCTTTCAGTGCTGTCACATTTTGAATGACAATTGCGCGGCCATGCAACACTCTACCCATATGCAATTTTTAGCATTTTTTTGAGACAGATAGAGCTTTCTTTTGCTGGTATTTAATCACCTCTGGGATTTTTATTTTTTCTTAAACAAATCAAAAACCACTGAAAAATTTAAAAAAAACCAAACGTTTTTTCTTAGTTTTTGTTATACAATTTTGTAAATAAGTGATGTTTCTCCTTCACTGATGTGCGCTAATGAGGCTGCAGTGATGGACACTGATAGGCTGCACTGATGGACACTGATAGGTGGCACTGATGGGCACTGATGAGGAGGCACTGGTAGGTGGCACTGATGGGCATTGACAGGCATCACTGATGGGCACGGAAAGGCAGCTGATACATGACACTAATATATGGCACTGATAGGCGGCACTGACTGGTACTGTTAGGCAGCACTGACTGGCACTGTCAGGCGGCACTGACTGGCACTGATAGGTGGCACTGACTGGCACTGATAGGCGGCACTGATGTGCACTGATAGGCAGCACTGATGCACACTGATAGGCGACACTGACTGGCACTGATAGGTGGCACTGATTGGTAGCACTGATAGGTGGCACTGATTGGCACTGATGGGTGACATTGAAAGGCAGCTCAGATGGGCACTGATATGTGGCATTGATGTGCACTGGTATGCGCTGATATGTGGCATTGATGTGGCATTGATGGGCACTGGCACGTGGCACTGATGAGCACTGACTGCTGGCACTGATGGACACTGACAGGTGGCACTTCTGGGGCCACACTGATCATCAGGGCACACTGATCACCAGTGCCCTGATGATCAGTGTACATGTCCCCTCTGCGGAAAGCCGATTACCGTCTCTCCTCTCCTCTCGAGCTGTCAGCATGACAGCTCGAGAGGAGTGAAATGCCGATAACCGGCATTTCCGTGTTTACATGTGATCAGCTGTGATTGGACACAGCTGATCACATGACCGAGCCAACATCTTCGGCTCTTTCCGTGATCCGCTGTGTCCGAAAGGACACAGCACACCGGCGATCGCCGAGCTGCGCGCTCCCTCAGCCGTGCATGCGCGGTGAGAAATGGAAGGACGTCATATGACGTCCTATCAGAACGAGAGAACCACCTCAGAGGACTGTGTTCATGTAGGGGTGGAGCCTGGACATGGCGGCTGTGGGGAGCGAGCGGCTCACCGGAGCCTGGAGAGCGTGAAATGGAGCCCGGAGAGACGGAGATGGGAGCAGGACAGAGGCTGCAGTGACGCGCCGGCTCCTCCGGTGCCTCGTGAGAGAGGGATCTGGACGGCTGGGAGGAGAGGTGACGCGGAGGGGGAGTGTATGCAACCGCGGAGGATCTCTGGGAGAAGCCGGCCGGCCGCATGATGAGACAGGGAGACGCCGGCTTACTGTTATCGGCTCCCTGTCGCCCATAACCCCCGGCCTATTGCTGCATACAACCCCCGGCTTGTTACTGGCCATGTCTCCTGGCTTGCTGTTGCCTGCGGCCCCCGGCCAGTAGACTGTTCAATCCGGGGAGAACTGGGAGTATTAGGAGACTCGCCCTGCATCCCTGGGACGAAGCCCAGAGAGGAAAAACGAGGCATTACGTGGGAAGACCAGAGGAATCCCCCCTCAGGACATGTGAAGGCCCTCCACTTATGCTTGGAGCCACCGTCTTGTGAAGAGAAGGGTGAGTGAGAGCTTTGGGGGGTCTATTGTGCAGTGGACTATTGAATGACAGTGGGATCCAGGGGTCAAGGAGGAGAGAGGAGGATTCCCTGGGCTTAGAAGAGAAAAGTCCCAGGTGCCCCAGGAGAGCAAAATACAAGAATAATCTGCAAACCTGTTTGGAGCACAAACCATAAAGGAGAGGTATACCCCCATCTAGAGCATATAGGAGACAAATGATATATAGAGGATATGAAGAATAAAGGTCCTAAGGGAGCAGGGCTCAAAGGGTCTCAATCAGGCACGCTAAGGAAATTTACATCATATGGTAATACTACCCCAGAAAGGCCCCAAGGAGACAGTGCTAAAGGGGAAATGGACACTAGACCCGGAAATAGTCCTAGATTGTCATTGGGTAAGAACAGCAGTAGAAGCCAACAAATAGAGGATGGCTTGGGAAAAAAAAGAGCTTGATGGTGAACTACAAGTACCGAATAAGAAGGAGATGACAGAAATGTTTCAAAGTTTGGAGAAAATGATAAAACGTGAAATGACAGTTATTCGAAACGACTTAGGGCATTTGCTGTCGAGAATGGAAGAAATAGAGGAGAGAGTTAAAACCCAGGACCAAACCATAGATAGTCTAAGGAAAAAAAACAACTCATTTGGAGAAAATCCAGAAAAAATTACTCTATAGGATGGAAATTCAAGAAAATAAAGAAAGAAGGTGTAATCTCAGGATGCGAGGAATTCCAGAATCTGTAAAAGGGGAAACATTATATGAACTAGTTAATAAAATCTTAAACTCCATAAGAGGCAGTCCTGAAACAGAAGTGATTGAACTAGACGGAGTGTTCAGAACAGGAAAGTTTAAACAAGAGACTGAGAGGGACAGATCGAGAGATATCGTTGTTATGTTCCAGAAATTTGGGGTCAAAAATGAGATTTGGAAGAAGATCAATCAAGGGAAGATCATTAATTAAGTATAAAGATTGGACTATTCAAATTTTTGCGGACTTAACATCAGAAACTCTATGGAGAAGGAGATCCCTGAAACCCCTGTTGGAGCAAATGAGAAAACAGAAAGTGCAATATAGATGGGGTACCTCGGTACCTCTAATTGGCTGGAAAAATGGGGTCACAGCATATCTGAGATCCCCGGACGAACTGAGAGATTTTTTTGCGATAGACTGGACTTGCAAAGAGTGGAGATAGCTGGGTGGGAAGAAGAAGAAAAAGGAGATACGGTTAATGCAAGAAAGGAGGACTGGCAGCGGGTCGGGGGGAGGGTGAGGGAGGTCCTGGGGTTGGGGGGAGGGAGGGAGAATTAAGTAAAATATACGCTTTGCTTCTTCTCTCTCTTTTCTCCTCACCCCCCCCCCCCCCCTCGTATCCCCCCTGTAGAAGCGAAGGTCCCTCTGGAAGCTCCGGTTAAGGGGGGGAAGTAAAGGTATTGTAGAGCCCAGTTGATATAGAGAAAGGGGAGCTGGGGAGGTTGGAGGAGAGGTGAGCCGTCCATGGGCGGAGCTTACGCCCAATATTTTAAATCAACCGTGGAAACAGTTCCACAAATGATTTGTAGGCAGTTTATAAGCCTAAAAATGGGTAGGGGGAAAATAAGAGAGAGGGGGTGGGGGGGAGGGGGTGGGGGATAGGGGTTGGGGGGTTAATACTCTGCAAGACAGCTGGGCCTAATAGGAAGAGACGAATTAGAAGAAAGATAGACAGACTTATGAAGGATGGAAGAAATACAGTTTATAACATATAATGTGAATGGGTTGAATTGTCCTGGGAAAAGATTTAAGTTGTTTAAAGAGTTACATCACAGGGCAACGTCAGTGGTATTTTTACAGGAGACACACTTTGAGATAGAGTCAAACGTGAAACTAAAATCTAAATATTATCCAACATGGTATTACGCTGACTCTCCAATTAAAAGAGCAAAGGGGGTGGCAATAGGTTTGGCAAAGAATATGAGATTTGAGCTGGAAGAGAGAAAGACTGATCCGGAGGGCAGATTCCTATTTTTGAAAGGTAAACTACAGGGAATTGAGTGTACACTAGCCAATATTTATTGTCCCAACAAAAAACCGGAGATCTTTTTGAAGGGTCTGTTGAAAAAATTGAATGATTTTAAAAAAGGGCGTTTAATTATAGCAGGAGATTTAAATCTTTGTATGGACCCACAAAAGGATACAACCTCCCTTGTGCAGAGAGAGGGGGGTAGGTCTCTGAGAGCTTTGAAGAAGGTGATCCACGAGTACCAACTGGTGGACTCATGGAGAATAATGCATATGAAAGACAGAGACTATACCTTCTTCTCTAATGCACATGAGATATACTCGAGACTGGATTACTTTTTGATAGATCATCAATTCATTGAACTGTTGGTTAAAATAGAAATAGAGACAAGAACTTTCTCGGATCATGCCCCTGTCATAATGAAAATAGGATGGGGAAGAAGGTGGACGGGAGGCTTGGGATGGAGGTTGAATGAGGCTCTTCTCTTGGATGAGGATATTGTACAGAAGATCAGGGAAGAGATTAAAGTATATTTCAAGGAGAATGAGACAGAGGAAGTATCGACAGCTACAGTATGGGAAAGCCATAAGGTATATATAAGAGGAATCTTGATTGCGATGGGAGCAAGGAAGAAAAAAGAAAGAAGAGAGAGGGTTAGCGGACTCCTAAAGGAAATCCTGGACTTGGAGCAGATACATAAGAAGAAAATAACAATAGAAACAAGACAGAAGTTAAAGGATAAAAAAGACGAACTAGAGAGACTGATGGAAGAGGAGAGGAGAAGAGTATATAACAAAGTATTAAGTGAAAGATATAGATGGGGAGATAGACCAGGAAAATACTTAATGAGAGCCCTGAATAAAAAGAAAAACAGGAATTATATAGAAAAGATAAAAAGTCCTAAGGGGGAGCTGGTTCATTCAACTAAAGAAATTATTAAAGTATTCACGGAGTATTTATAGAAAGTTATATAATATTGGCCATCAAGGTACTCCAAAAGAAACTAGAGAAGGTATTAACGAAAAAAGGATGATATATTTAAAAAATGCGGGATTACCTAAACTCAGTGAAACACAATTGAACTCCTTGGACGTGGAAATTTCCCAGGAAGAAATAGAAGCAGCATTAAGAAGTACAGGGGGGGGAAAAAGCCCTGGCCCGGATGGTTATACAGTTAAGTACTATAAAAAAATTTAGTGAATCACTGTTACCGAAGCTGAAGAAGTATATGAACGACTTGGGAGGTGGGATGGAGGGGAGGAGGGAATCCCTTCAGGCCCATGTAGTTCTCATTCATAAGGAGGGAAAAGATCCTTCTCAGTGCTCTAGCTATAGACCAATTTCATTATTGAACACTGATACCAAGTTGTACGCAAAGGTTCTAGCAAACAGGCTGAAAGAACTAATGCCTGAATGGATCCATGGAGATCAGGTGGGCTTTGTCCCAGGGAGAGAGGGTAGAGACAACGGGTTGAGAACTTTAATGCTTATGCAGAAAAGTAGAAAAGGAAAAGCCCCGGTGGTGCTCCTGTCAATTGATGCCGAAAAGGCGTTTGATAGAGTGGACTGGGGCTTTATGATGGACAACTTGGAAGTGCTGGGGATCGGAGAGAGAATGCGGGAGTGGATAGGTATTTTATATAGGGAGCCCACTGCAATCATTACGGTAAATGGGGAGAGGTCGGAATACATTGAGATGTCCAACGGAACAAGACAGGGCTGCCCATTGTCCCCCCTGTTGTACGTTTTGACACTGGAACCCTTGTTGTCAATAATAAGGAATAGTGGAGCGGTAAAGGGAATCCAGATAGAAAATATAGAACATAAGGTAGCGGCCTTTGCGGACGACCTATTGTTTTATGTAGGCAACCCCCGAATAACATTACCAAGTATAATGAAGACCCTGAAGGAGTATGGTGAACTATCAAATCTAAAAATTAACCCAACAAAAACACAGAGATCCTGAACATCAATATACCAAAGAGCGAAAAAGAAAAGTTACAAAAAGAATTCCCCTTTATATGGAGAGAAAAAGATATAAAATACCTAGGAATAAAACTGGCTACTTCTTATAAACAACTGTATAGATTAAACTATATTTCTTTGATAAACGAGACTAAAGATGAGTTAAAAAGATTAGAAGGAGGAAATCCATCATGGTTAGGACGTATAAACCTAGTTAAAATGGTAATTATACCTAAAATACTCTATAGATTTCAAATGGTCCCAATTAAACTCCCAGAGGCGTTTTTTAAGATAATGAGAAGAATGTTAACAAGATATATATGGAGGAATAAAAAACCAAGAATATCATACGAAACATTGAGCAGGACTAAAGAGAAAGGGGGAATGGGACTACCTGACGTCAAGAGATATTATAAAGCAGTAATTTTAGCAAGAATATATGACTGGACATTTAACCATAAGGGAAAAAGTTGGGTAAAAATAGAAAACGAACTGAGTGGAATTAGTTTGAGTAAGATGATATGGGTCCCAGCACAATATAGAAGAATTAAAGAAAACACACAAGCACTTTCACTTTAAATGTTTTAAGGACATGGGATAATTTACATAAACACATGAAATGGGAATTCAACTCTATATTAATGCCACTTGCAAACACAGAGTTTTTTCCTCCAGGAAAGGAAGAGATATCAGGGAGATGGTTTAAAAAAGAAGATATCCAATTGAGAGATGTATTGGTAGAGGGGGAATTGAGAACATTTAAAGAATTAAAAGAGAGGGGGGGGGATATGTTTAATAGAATAGATGAGTGGAAATATCACCAATTAAAATGTTTCATTGGAAATCTCCCAAAACCTTTGAGATTAAAAAAGGAGTGGAATTTGTTTGAAAGGCTATTAGAAACACGTAGGGATGGGAAACACGGTGTTACAAAAATTTATAGGATCCTCACAGAATTAGACACGGACACAAAGTTAATTTTTATAACAAATTGGGAAAGAGATATGGAGGTGGTGATAGATGAAGATCAACAGAATAAGATATTTAGATTGGTACACGAGAGTGTTAGTATGAGAGACGTCGAGATCAACTATAAATGTCTGACACGATGGCATATTACACCGAGCACTGAGCACAAGATGAGTGGGGAGAATTCAAAAATGTGTTGGAGAGGATGTGGGGAGGAGGGCACGGTGTTCCACATATGGTGGCAATGTCCAAAAATTCAGGTTTTCTGGAAGACAATAGTTAAATTAATAGAAATAATAACTGGAAATGACATAGGGTTAGACCCAACCATGTGCCTCCTGCATAATGTTGAGACAACAGTAAAGAAATATAAAGAATCAGGCGTATGGTATTACCTAAGTGCTGCAAAAGGGTTGATACCTAAGTTTTGGCGGAAGACAGAGGTGCCGATGGAGGAGGATTGGATTAATAGGGTAAACCAGATTAGCAGAATGGAAAAATCATACTATATGCAGGAAGATAGGTTGGAAATATACTATTCGCGATGGGAAAAATGGGAAAAATCAGGAATGAAAGAGAAATATAGAAAATTTTAAACTAGGAAATTAATTAAAGTTAGTGGGTCTTGAGAGATTGGTGATCTTGCAGAGGGGAGGGAGGGGGTGGGGGGTAGAGGTGGGTTGGGAGGGGAGGGAAAGAAAAGAGGTAATTAGAAGGGGGGCAAAGTAGAAATGTTTTGATTATTTGTATGTTTGGTCCTCTTCTTATGGAAATTTTGTAATACTATGGGTGAATTACTTATTACAGCAAGATCAAATACATAAATAAACAACAATCCATAACTAAATTTAAAATATCCACATTTATGTCAGTGCTCCATGCCAGCTCTAGTCCATATGAATCATGGGTGATAGAAAACATGCTTCAGAATTTTTGCTCCAAGACAGGATATCACCAGACAAGGAAAGACCATATAGAATCACACCACACTCACCGAATGATATTGACCCCTCGATTTACCAAGTGATTCTATATAACGCTCCAAATTTAAAACCTGCTTCCATGCATCAGAGCCTCTTTACCCATAACAACTTAAAAAAATTAAAGTGTTACTAAACCCACAACAGTAAAATCAGTATATGTATATGCAATAAAGCATGCTTGTTATACTCACTGTGGAACCTAAGGGGTTAATCCTCTGCATTGTGTAAAAAGGCTCTTTGATCCTGTCTTCTCTGCTCCTCCCCTTCTGTCCCCAACCCATCTGCTGATAGAACAGAACCTTGGGGGCAACTTATCTCGAGACTGAAGCCTAGGCATGCACATGCTCAGTTTGGTGTGCATTGCTAAAGAGTTTTTTTTTCTGTGATTAACACAGGTCCATTCAGCACTGTCCAGACAGAGGTCAGGATCCTGTAGCCTGATAGGACAATCAGGGGAGAATGAAAACTTCTCCTACAAGCTTTAACCAGTGCTCTACTAGACACTGATCGAAGTCAGAAGACTGCTCTAACTGCTTATGAGAAAAGGTATTTAGCAGTTTATATTTACTAAAATAATTTCATTTCCATGTTCTGTGCACTGTGGGAGACCAGATATAGTGAATGAAGGATCCGGGGTTTAGAACCACTTTACTCTTTAGCAAGGAACATACACATTGATAATTATACTAAAAGTAGTGTGTGCTGTAAATTGTTTCCAGCATCGCTCCTGTTTCTTCTTCGTAGGGTAGGCTGCCATCCTACTGAAGCCCAGATCCCCTGAGCAGAAGTAAATCTTTAGAATGTCAGTAGAATGGCTTCTAGTAGCTCTGATTTTAGGTACAGTGCCAAAAAAGAGAGCAATGGAGCATGTGAAGAGAAGAGTGAGACAGTGTATTACTAGATGTTAAGCAGTATAAGTGCTTATTTTTAATGTGTTACATAGCTATACCCGCAAAAGGGGCTAGCCAGAAGTGATATAGCAGGACTTAATTTTCTGACTAAAGTTCCAAGTTGCCAAACGCCATGCAGCAGAAAGAGAAAGAAGGCCCTACATAGTGAAAAGTACTGCTTTTTACTTAACTGAATAAAATATATGCACTTATAACATATATAAATTTGTCCCTTCCTCACTCTGTAGTGTGGAAATGCTCTGTATGCCTAGTCCCATTCTTTTTGCAGTGTTTCTTTAGTTTCTGTTATAAGAACATGCAATTCCTGAAGCTTGACATACTATATATTTTTTTTATTTATCTGATGTTCCTCTGTAACGATCTGCACAAGTTTTCAATTAAAGCTTCCTATGATCTGCAAGATGTAATTAGGATCAAATCACTGTCTGTCAGTTCTTCTGAGGCTGTAAGTTACATTTTTCATGCCACAACTGAATCAGTTATAGAGATGACATATCAGTACTTAGATTGGAGAGGCAGAACAGTCAAAAAATCATTTAGCTCCAGCAAAAAAAAAAATATTTTAACTCCAGGCAAAAAATCCTTTATAGCTTCAGTCAAAAATCTTTTTAAGCGCCAGTCAAAAAAAAAAATCATCTATAGCCATGTAATGGGTTGTGAAAGGTGTCATGGAGTATATATGTGTATACAGCAGCTAAGGATAGTGCTGCCCATGCCTGTACAAGCCTGCAAGCTTTTCACATCATCCTACAGTCTATAAGAGAGGAATAATTCAGTGTTTTTCTAATGGACATGTGTTATACAAGTCAATCTGTGCTTCATACATGTATACAGTAGAAGATGAGAAGATGCCTGCATTACTACATGTCATTCTGATTTCTGCTTAGAATACCTTCTCAAACAAATGAGACAGAAAGTTTCCAGTGTTCACAAAGAACCTCCAGACATACAACTAAACAACTGATACATTTCTCAGAGACCACCAGTTAACTATCCCATTGTTAGCACACTGTCACACAAAAATATTCAATTTTGTGGAGGCAGAAACACATCAAGCACCAGAATTATTTCCAGATCAGAAATTAAGTAAACAAGGTAAACACTTTGTTAAACCACCTTGGAAAGTTCAGCAGAGACTAATATAGAACTGCTAATTACTGTTAATCATTTTAGGTTTAAAACTGTTGATTGCATGTCATTCTTTTTTCAACCCTTCCATGAGGTACTGCAACTAGAGTACACTCTAAGGGAACTTTCACACTGATCCTTCGCAAAAACGTGGCAAAAACACACACATACGCATTTTTGCTGTGTTTTAGCCTCACTTTTGCACGCTTTCAGTGCGTTTTTTTAAAGAATACGTGACAAAAAGATTCATATTTTAATTTTTTTTGAATAATTTCTTAATTTGTTTGAGATGAGCGAAGAAATGAAAAATTCGATTCGACTGTTTCGGCGAATTCGTGGACAATATTCGATTCGAGTCGAATAAATTCGCTGTGAATTTAACTTAAAAAAGGGTGTTTCTAGGCTTCAGAGAGACTTAATATTAGTGCAGAACACTGTACCTTTAATTTAAATGCCCTTGGAGTCTGCTGGGGAAGAGAAATAATACTGTCACTCAGTATGACATGCAGATGAGTGCCGTCGATCTTAGAATCACCGCACACTTCACTCATTTGGCCAGTCACGGGGCCAAAACCAGTGTTTGGAGCCACAGTGTGGCGGTGGAGGCAGCAGCAATGGGAGGCCATACAGCAACCTATGACAAAATGGAAACCAGCAGGAGTGTGAGGAGACCTGAAAGTGGCACATGGCAGAGTGGGAGCAATGGGAGGCGGTACAGGGACCCAGGTCACACTGTGGGCCCAGCAGCAGCGTGACCAGGCGGTACGGGGGCCCATGGCAGATTTGGGGCCTGGCAGCACCTATGGGAGGCCTGTAACCTGCCAGCAACCTATGACAAAATGGAAAACCGCAGGAGTGTGAGGAGACCTCAAAGTGGCACATGGCAGAGTGGGAGCAATGGGAGGCGGTACAGGGACCCAGGTCACACTGTGGGACCAGCATCAGCGTGAACAGGCGGTACGGGGGCCCATGGCCGATTTGACCTCGTTCATCCCATAGTCCTGCCGACTCACGAATAGCGTGGCCTCCTCAAAGGGCCTGAGCAAGCGCAGGTGTCACGCATGAGCTGCCAATGGCTGACATCTAAGTTACACAGGGAGTACCTTTATCCGCTTTTAACATCAGGAAATCTGTGATGGCCTTTCGCTGTTCGTAAAGGCGGTCTAACATATGTAGTGTTGAATTCCACCTTGTTGCAACGTCACAGCATGAGGAGTCGGTACGGGGGCCCATGGCAGATTACGTGCCTGGCAGCAGCAATGGGAGGCCCGTAATCTGCCAGCACCCTATGTCAAAAAATTGAACACACCAGCAGTGTGAGGAGACCTCAAAGTGGCACATGGCAGAGTGGGAGCAATGGGAGGCGGTACAGGGACCCAGGTCACACTGTGGGCTCAGCAGCAGCGTGACCAGGCGGTACGGGGGCCCATGGCCGATTTGGGGCCTGGTGGCACCTATGGAAGGCCTGTAATCTGCCAGCAACCTATGACAAAATGGACAACCGCAGGAGTGTGAGGAGATTTCAAAGTGGCACATGGCAGAGTGGAAGCAATGGGAGGCCGTACAGGGACCCAGGTCACACTGTGGGCTCAGCAGCAGCGTGACCAGGCGGTACGGGGGCCCATGGCCGATTTGGGGCCTGGCGGCACCTATGGGAGGCCTGTAATCTGCCAGCACCCTATGACAAAATGGAACCCTGGGCTGGGGCAGGCAGAACCGCCGTATCTTTATCACGGTTTTCCCAGGCCACCGAATGGCGACGCTGCATATGCTGACGCAACGCTGTAGTCCCAACATGGGCCCCCTGGCCACGCTTGACTTTCTGGCCACATAGTCGACATACGGCTACGTTTACTTCCTCGGGCGGCTTGACGAAAAATTGCCACACCGCAGAGTAGCAGAGTAGGAAACTTTGCCTCCGCTACTCCTCACTGGCTGACTGCTACTTCCTCCGTGCACACCGGCACCACTACTGGCCGTGGTGGTAGGCTGCAGTGGAGCTGGTGCTCTACTCCGTGGCCGTTTGCCTCCACTGACACTGCTGCGACCCTGCTGCCTCCTGGCAGCAGCAATGGGAGGCCGTACAGGGACCCATGAGAGACTCTGGACTTGGCAGCAGCATGAGGAGGCGGTATATAGGGGCCCATGGCAGATTAGGGGCCTGGCCTGGCAGCAGCTATAGGAGGCCCGTAATCTGCCAGCACCCTATGTCAAAAAATTCAACACACCAGCAGTGTGAGGAGACCTGAAAGTGGCACATGGCAGAGTGTGGCGATGGAGACAGCAGCAATGGGAGGCCGTACAGGGACCCATGAGAGACTCTGGACCTGGCTGGCAGCAGCATGAGGAGGCGGTATATAGGGGCCCATGGCAGATTAGGGGCCTGGCAGCAGCTATAGGAGGCCCGTAATCTGCCAGCACCCTATGTCAAAAAATTCTACACACCAGCAGTGTGAGGAGACCTGAAAGTGGCACATGGCAGAGTGTGGCGATGGAGACAGCAGCAATGGGAGGCCGTACAGGGACCCATGAGAGACTCTGGACCTGGCAGCAGCATGAGGAGGCGGTATATAGGGGCCCATGGCAGATTAGGGGCCTGGCAGCAGCTATAGGAGGCCCGTAATCTGCCAGCACCCTATGTCAAAAAATTCTACACACCAGCAGTGTGAGGAGAGAGACCTGAAAGTGGCACATGGCAGAGTGTGGCGATGGAGACAGCAGCAATGGGAGGCCGTACAGGGACCCATGAGAGACTCTGGACTGGCAGCAGCATGAGGAGGGCGGTATATAGGGGCCCATGGCAGATTAGGGGCCTGGCAGCAGCTATAGGAGGCCCGTAATCTGCCAGCACCCTATGTCAAAAAATTCAACACACCAGCAGTGTGAGGAGACCTGAAAGTGGCACATGGCAGAGTGTGGCGATGGAGACAGCAGCAATGGGAGGCCGTACAGGGACCCATGAGAGACTCTGGACCTGGCAGCAGCATGAGGAGGCGGTATATAGGGGCCCATGGCAGATTAGGGGCCTGGCAGCAGCTATGGGAGGCCCGTAATCTGCCAGCACCCTATGTCAAAAAATTCTAACACACCAGCAGTGTGTGAGGAGACCTGAAAGTGGCACATGGCAGAGTGTGGCGATGGAGACAGCAGCAATGGGAGGCCGTACAGGGACCCATGAGAGACTCTGGGACCTGGCAGCAGCATGAGGAGGCGGTATATAGGGGGGCCCATGGCAGATTAGGGGCTGGCAGCAGCTATAGGAGGCCCGTAATCTGCCAGCACCCTATGTCAAAAAATTCTACACACCAGCAGTGTGAGGAGACCTGAAAGTGGCACATGGCAGAGTGTGGCGATGGAGACAGCAGCAATGGGAGGCCGTACAGGGACCCATGAGAGACTCTGGACCTGGCAGCAGCATGAGGAGGCGGTATATAGGGGCCCATGGCAGATTAGGGGCCTGGCAGCAGCTATAGGAGGCCCGTAATCTGCCAGCACCCTATGTCAAAAAATTCACACACCAGCAGTGTGTGAGGAGACCTGAAAGTGGCACATGTTTGAGGCATGATTCATGGCGGATTTAGTCAGTTGTGTCAGGAACTGGTGGTTTGAAATCCAGACTAATCCACGCCTGATTCATTTTCACAAACGTGAGTCTCTCCACACTTTGGGTGGACAGTCGTGTCCTCCGCGGAGTTACAATACCTCCTGCCGCACTAAACACGCGCTCCGATGCCACGCTACTGGCCGGGCATGACAGCCTTTCAAGGGCAAATTCAGCTAGTTGGGGCCAAAGGTCAAGTTTCGTTGCCCAGTAGTCAAGGGGATTGTCTACCTCGGTTGGCAGGGTGCTGTCCAAGTAGGCCCAAGCCTGTTGTTTGAGGTCCTGCTCCAGGTCCACCTGATGCTGCTGCTGCTGCTGGCGGCTGGTTAGTAGTTTCCTCACTGCGCTGGTGAAGAAAGCTACTCATCATCGACTGCAGACTGAGGCAGCCGCTGCTGGTGGAGCTGCCACTGCCACTACCACCCCACCCCTCCCCTGCTGCCATGGCAGCGGAACGCGAGCGCACAGGGCCCACAGTGTCTGAGGATGGACGTTGGCGCACAAAGGCAGAGACCAACTGACTACATAGGTGGTTTTTTATAGTACGTTATTTTGGCCTCCCTCTCAGCAGGTGTGAAAAAGGCCACCATTTTTGAAAATTAGCGAGGGTCCAACAAGGTGGACAGCCAAAAGTCATCCCTCTGTCTGATGGTTATTATTCGGCTGTCTGCTACGCAAGCAACCGAGCATGCTATGGGCCATTTGTGCCAAGGAATGCGAGGGACTCCCTGCCTCCATCTCCACAGCATACTGCCACGGTGCGTCTGGGTCCTCTGTCTCCTCCTCCTCCTCCTACCATGCTCCTGCTCCTCCACTCCTGTCCGCTGAGTGGAAAAACCACCCATTTCACTCAATAATTCCTGAGCACAAATGTCCTCCTCTACCTCCTCCTCTTCTTCCTGTCCTGCCCCACAGGGGTCATGTGGCGTTGAGATCTGTGCGCCACGTCTACCGCACCCTGACCAGCCATTGTTAACAGCATTTGTTCAAGGACGTGCAACAGAGGAATGACGTCGTTCATCCCATAGTCCTGCCGACTCACGAATAGCGTGGCCTCCTCAAAGGGCCTGAGCAAGCGGCAGGTGTCACGCATGAGCTGCCAATGGCTGACATCGAAGTTACACAGGGGAGTACCTTTATCCGCTTGTAACATCAGGAAATCGGTGATGGCCTTTCGCTGCTCGTAAAGGCGGTCTAACATGTGTAGGGTTGAATTCCACCTTGCAACGTCGCAGATCAGGCGATGCATGTGTGGAGGAGACCTGATTCCGTTCTGCCGCTGCAGCTCAAGGAGGGTGTGCTTTTTGCGGTGTAGGAATGGCTGAAATGGGACCATGCATGCAAAGTTTACGTGACATTTTAAGGATGTCTTGCAGTGGGATGGTGGATTTTAGGAACCGCTTGACAACCAGATTGAACACGTGAGCCATGCATGGCGCATGGCACAACCTTCCTTGACGCAGAGCAGAGACCCATGTTCTTTCCGTTGTCGGTCAACATGGTTCCGATTTTCAGTTTGCGCGGAGACAGCCATCTGTCGATTTCTCTGTTCATTACACTGAGAAGTTCCTCCCCTGTGTGACGTTCGCCTGGACCTGGCAGCAGCATGAGGAGGCGGTATAGGGGCCCATGGCAGATTAGGGCCTGGCAGCAGCTATAGGAGGCCCGTAATCTGCCAGCACCCTATGTCAAAAAATTCAACACCCAGCAGTGTGTGAGGAGACCTGAAAGTGGCACATGGCAGTGTGGCGATGGAGACCTGAGCAATGGGAGCACATGGCCCATGAGAGACTGTGGACCTGGCAGCAGCATGAGGAGGCGGTATATAGGGGCCCATGGCAGATTAGGGGCCTGGCAGCAGCTATGGGAGGCCCGTAATCTGCCAGCACCCTATGTCAAAAAATTCAACACACCAGCAGTGTGTGAGGAGACCTGAAAGTGGCACATGGCAGAGTGTGGCGATGGAGACAGCAGCAATGGGAGGCCGTACAGGGACCCATGAGAGACTCTGGACTTGGCAGCAGCATGAGGAGGCGGTATATAGGGGCCCATGGCAGATTAGGGGCCTGGCAGCAGCTATGGGAGGCCCGTAATCTGCCAGCACCCTATGTCAAAAAATTCAACACACCAGCAGTGTGTGAGGAGACCTGAAAGTGGCACATGGCAGAGTGTGGCACACAGCAGCAATGGGATGCATGATGAGACTGTGGACCTGGCAGCAGCAGCAGCATGAGGAGGCGGTATATAGGGGCCCATGGCAGATTAGGGGCCTGGCAGCAGCTATGGGAGGCCCGTAATCTGCCAGCACCCTATGTCAAAAAATTCAACACACCAGCAGTGTGTGAGGAGACCTGAAAGTGGCACATGGCAGAGTGTGGCGATGGAGACAGCAGCAATGGGAGGCCGTACAGGGACCCATGACAGACTCTGGACCTGGCAGCAGCATGAGGAGGCGGCGGTATATAGGGGCCCATGGCAGATTAGGGGCCTGGCAGCAGCTATGGGAGGCCCGTAATCTGCCAGCACCCTATGTCAAAAAAAATTCAACACACCAGCAGTGTGAGGAGACCTGAAAGTGGCACATGGCAGATGAGAGACTGTGGACCTGGCTTGGCAGCAGCATGAGGAGGCGGTATAGGGGCCCATGGCAGATTAGGGGCCTGGCAGCAGCTATGGGAGGCCCGTAATCCAGCACCCTATGTCAAAAAATTCAACACACCAGCAGTGTGTGAGGAGGAGACCTGAAAGTGGCACATGGCAGAGTGTGGCGATGGAGACAGCAGCAATGGGAGGCCGTACAGGGACCCATGAGAGACTCTGGACTTGGCAGCAGCATGAGGAGGCGGTATATAGGGGCCCATGGCAGATTAGGGGCCTGGCAGCAGCTATGGGAGGCCCGTAATCTGCCAGCACCCTATGTCAAAAAATTCAACACACCAGCAGTGTGAGGAGACCTGAAAGTGGCACATGGCATGAGAGACTGTGGACCTGGCAGCAGCATGAGGAGGCGGTATAGGGGCCCATGGCAGATTAGGGGCCTGGCAGCAGCTATGGGAGGCCCGTAATCTGCCAGCACCCTATGTCAAAAAATTCAACACACCAGCAGTGTGTGAGGAGACCTGAAAGTGGCACATGGCAGAGTGTGGCATGGAGGAGACAACCACCGACTGTTTTGCTCGCTGCCAAGCTGCCACCCTCTTCTCCTGATGATGCGGAAGCCTCTGGAATAGCCTGATGACGACGAGGCTGCCAAGTGCGATCAGCCTCATCATCATCAATTAGGGTCTCCGCCTCCTCACTTACTAGCCCCCTCGGCTGCGTGTGGGTCAGGAGACAGACTGTCTCTACTACACCGGCTACCGAGCCACTCTCCTCGCCACTACTTCTTCGCCTGGCTGCTGAAGAGGCGGATGTCTCCCCCCGTTCCTGACCGCCCTCTGTTAGCTCTTCCTCACTGTACTGGATGACACCGGGAGCACTAGCCTCTGGCTGCGAATAGTGCTGCCTCGACCCCTTCCTCTGCTGCCACGTCTGCTCGCTCCTAAAACATTGCCTCCTCTGCCACTCCTCTGCATGTTGTCTGACATACTCTTTAATTAAACGATTCTGTGTCCCTGAGTAACAATTTCTGTGGCCCTAAGTAACGGTTCTGTGGCCCTCAGTAACAGTTCTGTGTCCCTGAGTAACAATTCTGTGTCTGTGCGAGTAACAATTCTGTGGCCCTAAGTAACAGTTCTGTGGCCCTCAGTAACAATTCTGTGGCCCTGAGTAACAATTCTGTGGCCCTAAGTAACGGTTCTGTGGCCCTCAGTAACAATTCTGTGTCCCTGTGTAACAATTCTGTGTCTGTGCGAGTAACAATTCTGTGGCCCTAAGTAACAGTTCTGTGGCCCTCAGTAACAGTTCTGTGTCCCTGAGTAACAATTCTGTGTCTGTGCGAGTAACAATTCTGTGGCCCTAAGTAACAGTCTGTGGCCCTCCTGTGTAACAATTCTGTGGCCCTAAGTAACGGTTCTGTGGCCCTCAGTAACAATTCTGTGTCCCTGTGTAACAATTCTGTGTTCTGTGTCCCTGAGTAACAATTCTGTGGCCCTAAGTAACAGTTCTGTGGCCCTCAGTAACAATTCTGTGTCCCTGAGTAACAATTCTGTGTCTGTGCGAGTAACAATTCTGTGGCCCTAAGTAACAGTTCTGTGGCCCTCAGTAACAATTCTGTGTCCCTGAGTAACAATTCTGTGTCTGTGCCCTCAAGTAACAATTCTGTGGCCCTAAGTAACAGTTTCTGTGGCCCTCAGTAACAACAATTCTGTGGCCCTAAGTAACGGTTCTGTGGCCCTCAGTAACAATTCTGTGTCCTGTGTAACAATTCTGTGTCCCTGCGAGTAACAATTCTGTGGCCCTAATTAACAGTTCTGTGGCCCTCAGTAACAGTTCTGTGTCCCTGAGTAACAATTCTGTGTCTGTGCGAGTAACAATTCTGTGGCCCTAAGTAACAGTTCTGTGGCCCTCAGTAACAATTCTGTGTCCCTGAGTAACAATTCTGTGGCCCTAAGTAACGGTTCTGTGGCCCTCAGTAACAATTCTGTGTCCCTGTGTAACAATTCTGTGTCTGTTCTGTGTTGCGAGTAACAATTCTGTGGCCCTAAGTAACGGTTCTGTGGCCCTCAGTAACAGTTCTGTGTCCCTGAGTAACAATTCTGTGTCTGTGCGAGTAGTAACAATTCTGTGGCCCTAAGTAACAGTTCTGTGGCCCTCAGTAACAGTTCTGTGTCCCTGAGTAACAATTCTCTGTGCGAGTCAATGTCTGTGCCCTAAGTAACATTAACAATTCTGTGGCCCTAGTAACAGTTCTGTGGCCCTCAGTAACAATTCTGTGGCCCTAAGTAACGGTTCTGTGGCCCTCAGTAACAATTCTGTGTCCCTGTGTAACAATTCTGTGTCTGTGAGCGTGCGAGTAACAATTCTGTGGCCCTAAGTAACAGTTCTGTGGCCCTAACAGTTCTGTGTCCCTGAGTAACAATTCTGTGTCTGTGCCTGAGTAACAATTCTGTGGCCCTAAGTAACAGTTCTGTGGCCCTCAGTAACAATTCTGTGTCCCTGAGTAACAATTCTGTGGCCTGAAGTAACGGTTCTGTGGCCCTCAGTAACAATTCTGTGTGTCCCTGTGTAACAATTCTGTGTCTGTGCGAGTAACAATTCTGTGGCCCTAAACATTGTAACGGTTCTGTGGCCCTCAGTAACAATTCTGTGTCCCTGAGTAACAATTCTGTGTCTGTGCGAGTAACAATTCTGTGGCCCTAAGTAACAGTTCTGTGGCCCTCAGTAACAGTTCTGTGTCCCTGAGTAACAATTCTGTGTCTGTGCGAGTAACAATTCTGTGGCCCTAAGTAACAGTTCTGTGGCCCTCAGTAACAATTCTGTGGCCCTAAGTAACAATTCTGTGTTAACTGTGGCCCTCAGTAACAATTCTGTGTCCCTGTGTAACAATTCTGTGTCTGTGCGAGTAACAATTCTGTGGCCCTAAGTAACAGTTCTGTGGCCCTCAGTAACAGTTCTGTGTCCCTGAGTAACAATTCTGTGTCTGTGCGAGTAAAACAATTCTGTGGCCCTAAGTAACAGTTCTGTGGCCCTCAGTAACAATTCTGTGTCCCTGAGTAACAATTCTGTGGCCCTAAGTAACGGTTCTGTGGCCCTCAGTAACAATTCTGTGTCCCTGTGTAACAATTCTGTGTCTGTGCGAGTAACAATTCTGTGGCCCTAAGTAACGGTTCTGTGGCCCTCAGTAACAATTCTGTGTCCCTGAGTAACAATTCTGTGTCTGTGCGAGTAACAATTCTGTGGCCCTAAGTAACAGTTCTGTGGCCCTCAGTAACAATTCTGTCTGTCCCTGAGTAACAATTCTGTGGCCCTAATAACGTTTCTGTGGCCCTAAGTAACAGTTCTGTGGCCCTCAGTAACAATTCTGTGTCTGTCCCTGAGTAACAATTCTGTGGCCCTAACTAAAGTTTCTGTGGCCCTAAGTAACAATTCTCTGGCACTCAGTAACAATTCTGTCTGTCCCTGAGTAACAATTCTGTGGCCCTAATAACGTTTCTGTGGCCCTAAGTAACAATTCTCTGGCACTCAGTAACAATTCTGTCTGTCCCTGAGTAAGAATTCTGTGGCCCTAACTAGCGTTTCTTTGTCCCTAAGTAACGATTCTGTGGCCCTCACTAACAATTCTGTGTCCCTGAGTAATGGTTCTCTGTCCCTAAGTAACGTTTCTCTGTCCCCAAGTATCGTTTCTGTGGCCCTAACTCTGTCCCTAATACAGAGCGGTCTGCCTCTGTTCAATGACTGCAGGCAAATGAAGAATTCCAAAATGGCCGCTATTTATAGCTCGACCATTACACAGTGCTGGCTGGCTGGCTGCTGATTGGCTGATGCGATCACATGTCATTGAGGAATGCATTATGGGTCAGCGCGCCTTGTCTGCGCGCCTTCCCAGACATCCCCGCTCCGTCGCCGCACATGTCCGCCGCCATTTTCGGAAAAATTTCGATTCGCGCGTCCGAAGTAGGCTATTTTTCGGATTCGGCGCGAATCGAAATTTTTCCGATATTCGACTCGAATTCCACTTCGGCTACTTCGATTCGCTCATCTCTATTTGGAACCACAAAAGGAAAGTGAGGATTTTATAAAATACAATGAAATGCTGAAAAATGAGGTTGAGAAGAGACAAAAAAATCTGAAAATATCTAAACAATCTAAGTTTAGACAAGATTTAGGTAACTGGGAAAGCAGATAAATATTTGGTCTTACAATTTGAAGAGGAAAGAGTAGGTCTAAGTGGAAACATTTTAGATTTCCGTCTTAATCTGGTGGAAAAAAACCTCAAGTAGTAGTGAAGATGAGATCCCTATAAAATCTGTCACTTTTTTAGAGGGAACAAAACAAACAGCAAGCTCAGGTGGAACACCTCAGGAGATAGAAAATACTTTAAAAACACAGGAAAGAGGGAATAGAAATTTTTTAAGAAGGAAGTCCCCTGGAAAAGCGGGAAGAAGTCAAAAGCAGTTGGGGGTTAATACAGTCAAAATTAACAAAGGGGAGGATAGTAAGGTAATAAAATTTATCTGACTTCCCTCTCAAGGAACAACATATCAAATTATTACAGAGAAGTATGTCTTTGAAGAAAATGGATGAATTTACTGTGTAGAAAGATATCAATTTATTTTTACAGAAAGTATTTCCTATTTATTTTATTTATGAAAAGAAGGGCAATATGACTCTGGCTGACTTCCCATCGGGTGAAGAAGACAGTAAAGCATTACATGACCTGATTTCATTACTCAATGAAAATAAGGATATATCTTCCTCAGATGACAATGAGGAAATCCAGCATCAAAGAAAGGCAAACCTAACCATCAAATCAACTAAAATGCCATCTTTTAAAAGTAATTGATGGTTGAGCTTGTTTTTAGACTTGTGCTTACAGACCTTAAAGAACTTTACTGGAAGTGGAATAAGGGGGATAACTTAACAAGAGAAGAAAGATTGGTCCTAAAAGAATTAAGGGACACAAAAAAATCTAGTTGTTAAAAAATGCAGCAAGGGTGTAACATTGTCCTAATGAAAGAAGAAATGTACTAGAATAAGGTGAAATGACAATTAAATGATGATTTAACCTAAAGAAAATTGAATTTAAAATTCTTTATCCATCTTGCTCAACACATTAACTTTAAACTATCAATGGCAAAAGAGGCAGGGCTATTGAATATAAAGGACTTTGAATACCTAAAAGTGGGTAAAATATCCTCATTGTTTTGGTAATTCCACAAAAATAAAAAAGTCTTTCAAACTCCCCTGGGAGACCTATATTGTCAGCAATAAAAGACCCAATGGAAAGAGTGGACAAATATTTAGACTCCCTGTTAAAAGATATGGTGCCACCATTAAGTTCATATGTACAAAATACAAGGGATGCATT